GCGTCTGTTGACCTTTTTCGTCTCTCCAGGATCTCTTCCACCTGCTCACCTGCCAACAGCACAGCCCATGGAAACTTCTGCCTGACCTCATCTGTCAGCCTGTCCATCACCATTGTAATTAAAAAAGGAGTTAAGAGGCGATCCCCAATGTAATCCTCCCCCCACCTCACCACCACCAGCCACACTGTCCTCATACTTGTCCTGCACCAGTGCTTTCAAAGCCAGTTTGTGCTTTGTCATTCTGTCATATGCTTTCTCTGGATCCACAAAGACACAGTTCTACTCTTTCTGCACACTGAAGTCATCACTCATCACAATTTTGATGATTAATATTTCAATTCCATGTCTTGATTTTTTGGCATTTTGAGGCTGTGTTGGTCTTTTGCAGTAAACCTTTAAATAGTTTCCTCAACGACAAATATAAAACGATTGCTACATACCAAACAACACACACAAAAGATGACCAGTATGGTCAAAGAAAGGCAGACACATGAGCTGCTCCACAGCACCACACTGGCAGGCTCCATCTCGGTCTGATTTTCTGTAGTGGTGTTGTTGGTGTCCACGCTTTTGTTTCTTAAACCAATCAAAATGAGAGAATTTCAGTTTAGCAGAGATACAAAGCAGCAGTTACACCATTACTTTAACTTGTATATTTATGTTAGTTCACGAATGATTGGTGTGGAAAGCACATCACATCAGTCGTATACACCGCAACTGCCCTGGAAGCGACCTCCCTCTCTCTTTCTTTCTTTCACTTTCTCTCTCTCTCACAAACACACACACACAGTCCATTTTGTAATACAGCCTCATAAGGGAGTTTCCTCATAGCTTTTCTAATCTTCAAGTAGAAAAATTAAGTGAAAAGCTAATATCGTCTTTACTTACCTCAGGACTGCTCCCAGCTTAACTTGTCAGTAAACTCTGTAATATGTTTTTCAAAGATCTTGAAAGGGGAAGTTCATTGCCTTATTTACACCCCATTTCATCACATTACGCAATTCACAGTCACGTATTTGCATGAAAATCAACCAGCTAGCATTCCTCTCTCTCTGACAAGGTTTTACTTTATGAAAGCATCTAACTGGTTTAATACGAACAACTAAACGTGTAACATCAATCAATCGATCAATCAATAAAAACAGTGCAGAAGCATTTTCTCTATCAACAACAGCAAGACACAATAAGACATTTCAGTGTCTGTGCAAGCTGAAAGATAAACCTGTTTGTCTTATTGTATTTTTAGTCTTCCTGACAAACTGTCAAACTGTGTATAAAGTTCTTGTAGACACAGCACTTTACCCCAAAAATAGATTAGAAACTCTCTAAGCTACATCCTTCCTTTTCTCTGCTTCTTATCTCGCGCGCACTCACACATGTTGGACAGATTTCATAGTTGGAACATAGTTTAACTACTATTGTATTCCCACACCACATCATGGTTCACCTTTAGTGGACTTAATACATCATGATTTTATCTCTAAATTGATATTGCAGGAATTTCGTTTTATAACAGGTTTCTGGGGGCCTATAGGTATGGGGGAGGGGGGG